AGTTACGCTGCCAGAGATGTGAAGGTTTCGGCCAATCAGCAAGCATCAGTGAGAATACAATATTAAAAAATCTGTATTTACCAAAAAGAGAAGTCGTAAGGTTTGATGGTACACCGACAAATTATTGGAATTTCATTAGAAATTTCGAAGAATGCATTGGGAGTGAGAATACTGGATTTAGAGCTAAGCTAAATTACTTGATTCAATATTGTGACGGAGAAGCGAAAGCCGCTATCCTTCATTGTACTATACTAGAACCAGAGATAGGTTACCATCAAGCCCTAAAGCTTTTAGAAGAAACGTTTGGCCAAAAACACGTCGTAGCACGCACGTTTATCGATAATTTGTTAAACTTTCCCAATATAAGGAGAAATCAACCAGATGGTTTGAGAAGACTATCTCGAGAAATGCAAGCACGTAGTTTGACTCTCGAACAGATGAATTACGTTTCTGATTTGAACTCTTCTAGAACTATTGAAACTATGGTTCTGAAATTACCAACGCACATTCAACAAGAGTGGCTAAAGGTAGCTTATAAGATTATCAGAGGAGGCAGAGAGCCTCTGTTTACCGATCTTGTTGAGTTTGTAAAGGAGCAAGCTGATATAGCTAATACTAGATATGGCCTACTCGTCAACCGCGGTAGTAATAGTGACAATAGAGATGTTGGCGTTTTAAAAAGGAAAATTAGTACAGATTACAATGCAGCAAGAATATCTTATGTGAGTGCTAATGATGATAATGCTCTCTTACGCAGTTCATCTTGTTTGGAGTGCTCCAGTAATCATTCTTTAGATCAATGTCAGAAATTTAAAGACAAGAATGTTAGAGAAAGGAAGGAATTCGTTCTTAGACACAAGTTGTGTAATGTATGCCTGAAGGCAAACCACGTAGCAAAAAACTGTCGATCGCCGAGGTCGTGTGCTGTCGAAGGGTGTGGCTGGAGACACCATACTCTGTTACATGAGTTGCGGGAAGAACCAAGGAATACTAATATTGATGCACACATTAACACCCAGCTATGTACGGAGAAAAGTGTTGAGAGTGTACAGAAACAAGCAGCATTCGCAATAGTGCCTGTACTGGTAAGAAATGGAGAAAAGGTAGCACAGACTTGCGCCTTCTTAGATAGTGGGTCGGATGCCTCTCTTATTACAGAAGATCTAGCTAAAAGGTTGAATTTAGAAGGAGAGCCTAAGACGATTTCGTTGAAAACGTTGGGTAACCATTCCACAATTCAGTGTAAAGAGGTTCAACTAGAGGTTTCATCCTTAGACTCGTCTTCGTCATTTAGAATCCCAAACGTATGGACAGTCGAGAGATTACCTATGTTGCGCAGGACGGTACCAACGACGTCTCAAATGAAATCCTGGATGCATTTAAAAGACATAAGTTTTCCTAGAGTGGAGGATGAGAATGTCGAACTGTTGATCGGGTGCAATGCACTGAGTGTACACGAAATGAAAGAGGTAAGAACTGGAAAACCAAATGAACCATTCGCCGTGAAGACTCCGTTAGGTTGGACGCTGTTCGGTTCCTATGGGGAACCCTGTAAAAGCAATCGTGTACTCAATCACCTCTCAGCTAAAGAGGAATTAGAGGATAAGTTTGAACAATCGTATTTAACTGAATTCAAAGACCTACTTAGTCGTACTTCATCGATGTCTATGGAAGATCGTATAGCATTATCAGAATCTGCATATGGTGTCGCGGAGTATACTCGTCCCGAAGATGTCTCTCGTCAAGTTCATTGTTCGTTTTTAATAACTAAGTATAAGGTTGTTAAGCCAAAAACTGAAGCATCATCTGCTAATAAATCCAAATCAACTCTAAGAAAGCTTAAGGAAAAGAAGGACATCGAACTGAAAGTGAAGACTACGAAAAGGCCGAAGACCACTGTAACGAAGAAGCCAGTAACTAAGACCCTGAAGAAGCAGGTAGCACATATTCGCCGTGGTATCGAGGATGGTGTTGAGAAAGACGCCCTTGTACGAGTTGTGAACAAGAGTAAGGGTACATCTGGTAGTTCTGTATGGTCCAAAGCTATTGTCGAACAAGTAAGCTATGGCTTCGACGGACGAGTTCGTACGGCAAAATTGAGAACCTCAAACGAAGAAACTGCTCGGGACGTACGACGCTTATGTTTACTAGAAGGAGCCGGCTGTCTGACGGCGACGACGACCCTGGACAACGGACGTGGTGCGCGTTTCGGGGAGAGTGTAAAATGTGATTGATAGACGAACCCACCAATAATAAGGGAAACGCCCACCACCACATCAACTCCCTTTGACCTTGTACGACTGTATCTCTTTATTAACCAATCACAGTTTAATGTTCATTGTAAAACAATTTTGGCTTGTTGACTCATTTTTCCTATTCTCTAGCTACTGTTCGGTATGTTATTTGTCTCTGTTTTTCTCTGTATTAATAGACCGTACTGTTTGTTTGTACGCTAACGATGTTAATTTATGTTTAGAAACAGATAAAGTTTATATAGCCAAATAGCTTACTTGTTCTGACTTTGGCTAAACCAGGACTCTGTACTCGACAGTCTAGAGATAAGCTTAGAGTTGAATCTGTAGGAAATTGCTTCCTACAGACGTGATGTCTTTACTTTTTCAAAAAACTAGTTGCTCTTTCAGATACTAGCCATTTCTTTCACTCTTATCTTTCTCGTTGTATATGTTCTGGTAGAACGAGACGTAATTACATTAAAATCCATGCACGCAAGGAAAAGTATAAAAGTTTTATATTACCTTACCTAGCAAATATACTCTGTGACGAACAAGTTGTTAGAGTCAACATAGTCAATAACTTGCATTTTTAACATGTCTTTAATTTTAAAAAATTTGTGCAGTTATTTCTTGGTTCTTTTTTTTAAATTTTTTTATATATATATTTTTAAAACCTTTTTTTATTTCTTTTTATATTTGCTACTGCCTTTTTGTTCGTTGTTCAGTAGGTAACTTGTTGAAATACCCTGTGCTGAGAATTCTATATTGTACCAAAATATAATATTGAATAAAGTCATTAATAATAATAATAATAATCACAAAGAATTTGCCTAACTACTGTTGGCAAACGTGTAGCCAAATCTCCTTGAGAAAAGCATCATCAAGTTTATAAGGGCAAGCCAATTGTCTCATGTGGCATAATAATTGAGACGGTGACTTGTCGCCTAGCTCACATTCGTGCAGTAATTGTTGTAATCTCTTTTCATCTGATAATGAGGTACGTTGGATAATTGCCTGCTTCAATTGATCATATGGATTAGATACACGAATGTTATCTATCAAATCTGGTACCTCAGATGCTACTTCAGTAGGCAGTAGTCCAAGCACGAAAGAGTATTTTGATGTCTGTGAGCGTATGTTACGACGTTGAAACTGTACTTCCACTTGTGCAAACCAAATGCGAGGGTTTAATCGACTGAATGGAGGCACATTGTAACGAAAAGAGAACAGTGAAAATCCCTCTGCAGCTTCTTTGTTGAACAGTATTTTCATTTATTTGTTCCTTCTCTGTTTTGTGTATTCCAACCTTTGTTTCGATCTCGTTTAACCATGTCTTTTGTTCTTCAGTCTTCCCCGTTTGAGCCTTTATTATGTGATTTTGATTAAAGACTTATTTTTGGTTACCTAATTTTCTATTGCATGTTGCCGGATCATTGACAGTAAGGTTGTGTTTGACTAAGCTCAAGGTCACGGCGTGGTTCAGTTTGTGACTGTTAACCTCCTGACTGTCTGCTTGGGAGAATTACTGCAATCCCTGCAGATAGATATTTGATCCCATCTGATTGGGAATATTTGCATTGATTCTCAGGTATCAAACCCTTTAGTATTAACTGTCTCTTTCATTGTTTAGCGCGCTACTTTGCGTTAGAGAAACTTCTGACTGTATAGCACAGGCTGTACCGTTTGAGGTATTCTGTATTTTTGATGTAATTTGTTCTGTTTTCTTAATTAGAACCGTTTATATTGAGCACAGAGTTTGTGTTTTGATATAATATAATACGAGTATCTCAAAGACGCGTTGTGAGCTATACAGAGGAACTTGGTCTGGTCTAATCGAATACATTTTGGGTTCGTCAGTCCGTTGTTCCAACCGAATATTGGCTGTTCGGTCGTTACACACATTTATCAAGTTTAGAGCGTGGAGCTCTGTTGAAATGCTATCCTGGCTCGTGCCTTCGGTTTCGGAAGTGTACATTAAAAATAAAAAAAAAATAATTACTACCAAGAGGAAAGTAACACCGTAACGTATGTGAGTGAACTCAAAACTAGTTCCAAAAAAAATTTACGGGCTCACCAGATTTGTGGTGATTCCCAACAAAAGGAGCTTATTAACGGTATGTCGATACACTAGTTTGATAATAACATACCCAGTAAATTATTAATAAAAACCATAAGTGTCTGTCTGTTAATAAAACCAAGGTAACAAATATAGTTAGAAAGACAAAGGGTATATTAAACAAACAAATAACAATTATTATGAATTGAATGTTAATTGAAAGCTGCCTCGAGAGAATAACAACCACAAATAAGTTCACTTGATTAACGAAGATTCCTCTGCAAGTAATTGCACCAACGGCGTATTGAAGAAGATTGCGTCCAATAGTATTATAATATAATAACCCGTGCCAGAATTCCAACGTGGTGTCGGAAGGGCTAAAGGGATGTTATAACACCATTATGGTCTTCAATCAAAAACCGTGGTCAATAAAGCAGAAGAACAGACGGTGTAGATAGCGGTTTTTATTTTCAAACCACGCGGTAGTAAAATCGTATATTGTTCATCGAAACAATTGTCATCGTTATCAACAAGTAATACGGAAAAACAACAGATATTGAATAAAAATGTGGTTACATATAAAGTGTAACAAACTAGAGAAAAAATACGGTTTTTATTTTGTCTTCACAAAAATCATTGAATATACGTCACCATAATTACGAATGATACATTGTACGACAAGAATGAATTCAAAATACGAAGAAATAGAACCTAAAGGTATAAACATTCCACTACTTTTGCAAAGCAGTGATCAACTAACTGGATACTTGATTTCAATCAAAACGTTTTGGTGCAGTTTTACTAGGCTAATCTAAAGGTTCCAGATTGCGCGCCTCCCGATGTCGTGACTGTAAGTATCATTAAATATTACGAATAATAAAAAATATACCTTTCAAAAGAGTTAGTTATATCAAGATGAAATAAGTTTCTATTACACAAGCAACCAGACTTGGATGAGTTTAGAGGAAAAAGTGCATGCAACTAGGCGACTTGGACTATGCAGATGACATATGGGTCATCAGCTATAGCTTTTCTATCCCCGTACACCAACAAATACAGGTGATGACAGTCATTGTAGCAAAAACACCTGTCTGTAGCATTAAGGCTCAAAACAGGGAAAAGGCAAGATCCTGAAACAAAACACGGAGAACACTGATTCTGTCACACTTGAAGAATTGAGAAAAACAAGGGGTAAAATTCCTACATTTGAAGAGCATATAAAACTCAAAAACAGCCGTCCAATTACATCAGTCAGAATCTTCATTACCATCGTCAGTACAGTTCTACTGTACGGAGCTGAGAATTGGAGAACTACTACATCCATCAGCAGAAGCGTACATGTATTCATAAGCAGTTCTCTGTGCAAGATACTCAGTGTTCGTTGACCAAATACTATCAGCAAAAACCTCTCTTCAGTGATAAGGACAGGTCTATCGACCTATATTAATCGTTGCAGTTTGTAATACCGTGGAGGTCCAATCTCGTTTTGAATATGTCAACAGAAGGTGCTGATATTACGTGTTCCCGTAGAAAATTCTAGTAATTTACTACTCGGTGCGAAAAACGAAACTTCAGACGTAAACGATTTGGTCTCGGTTTTTTGAACTTCGAATGTCCTCACAAATGATCAGTCCTAGACGGAAGAAAAAGATAAGACATGTTAATACCAAAGTCATCGTTCAGTATACGATAAGCCGATATTAGGTCACCTCGTATTCTACGGTAAGATAACGGAAATAAGTTAAGGTGTCCCAGTCTGTCTTCACAAGATAAGCCAGATAGACCTTGTACCATCTTAGTACCTAGTCGTTGGACTCTTTCCAGCATCGCTGCTTCATACTTGAAACAAGGACTCGTTGCTCGAATCCCATATCTTAAATGTGGTCGCACGTAAATCGGGTATAATAATTTAAATATTTCGTCATTTAAATACTGAAAAGACCTACGAATAGACCATAATACCCTATAGCCTTTTGCAACAGCAGCAGCCTTACAGTGACTAGTGGTTTTAAGACCACTGCTTAATATGACTCCTAAATCTTTATAGTTTACTTTGGGTAGCACGAATCCACATATTGTACAGTGATAGGATTCATCATAGTTATTTAATTGCATCACCATACTCTTATTAGGATTTACTTCTAGTGACCACCTGTCCAACCTACTGTGGAAGAGAGCAAACCAGCTTCCAGCTCAGTCAGCTGCAAAGTAAGATCAGGCATATATACTCATTGGTCCAAGTTGCCACACCTCATTAGCACAACACGATAAACGCCAAATTCCATCTGATGGAATTACGGAAAGACGCTGGATGTGGACAGGATATTTATTGAGGAAATTATCACACTGCATCACGAGGCAAGCGTTAGTTTGGGATCCTGAAGGGAAAAAAAATCAGAAGACCAAAAAAGGCACTGCACTGAAAACCGGAAGCAGACAACAAAATAATGAATAGCAACTGGAACCACTTGGAAATAATTGCTCAAGACAGAGTTGGGTGGAGAATGCTGTTGGGCGACTTATGTTCATCGACAAGTGTAAACAGTTATAAGGTTACTTGTGGCGGGGGTTAGATATCTTCCTGCCAACCAAAGGGCGAGTTGAATGTGCAGTAGTTTGTACTGTCCTAATTCATGAGTGCGAAACACGGGCACTGCGTATGCAGGTTATTCGCAGGTTACCTTTATGCGGTCGTAGGTGCCTTCAAAGCACTGCTCGTGTAATTCGGGATCACCTTGTTAGCAGTGCTTTCGTTTGGAAGAGTGTGTTGGGTAAAGATGCCAAATCGATTGGTGAGTTGGTAAATATTCGTCCATTGAGATGGTTGGGACATGTGATACCCATACCCACCTACCACCCATGTCGACGGGCGATATGTAGTGTGGGAGTAGTCTGCAAGATAGCTAGAGGCTGCCAAACAAAAACGATGCATCTGTCCATGAAGTCATTGACAATTGGATTAGACCATGTTGACGTGGATGGACTGCCTTGCTGGAGTCGGCGTGTTTATCGTTACTAATGGTTGGAGACTGAATAATGTATCAATTTCACGGGTTAGTCCACTACTTGACTTCATCTAGGTCCCAAGCTTCTAAATTTAAAATATCTTTATTTTATCAATCTATTTATTTATTATTATGATTTTATTTAAACACAAATATTAGTACAAGGAAGCATCATATATATATATATATATATATATATATATATATATATATATATATATATATATATATATATATATATATATATTTACAGTACATATATTAGCCTAGTGCTAGCTAGTACGATCTTAAGGGCTTTAATGGTAGTGCTGATAAAAACTCAACTTTATGTGTTCTGTAATCAATTAAGTTCCATTTTAATTATTTTGATACGCAACAGAGTATAGTCACTTTCAAAATGTACCTTACCGTTACAGGTAAACTCAGAAGTGAATATCGTGGAATGGGGGATCTTAACCTTCTAAAACCATATGCCGTTTTTGAACAACTATTTGAGCAGAAGATTAGAATAGAAGACAGGGATTGTCTCGAGTTTGCTGATATAAACGTCGCTGCTGGTATCTTAACCTCCTGTCATGGTTCAGCTCTTGTCAAAGTCGGAAAAACTCAGGTGATTGCAGGTGTAAAGGTACATTGTGGGTTTTTGATCTCAACAATTATAGGTCAAGGTAATTCCAGAAAGCGGAAACTCAGGCAACATAACCTGCAATGTCGAGTTTGCTGGTCTCTGTCATAGAGGTTCACGTTTAAATGCTCCACAACCTAAGTATGCTCAGTGGCTATCTTCTACAATTCAAAGACTCCTGAATAATTTTGCATTCCCATCTATTGAAAACCAGCTAAACATATTCTCAATAAATGACCCAGACACACTTACACCGGTAGCTTCCTACACTTTGAAGCTCGATGTCTTCATCCTTCATGACGATGGGTGCTTACTAGATGCTTGTGTCCCCGCTGCACTTGTTAGTCTTTGTACAACAAAGTGGACAAAGTTATATGCGGTTACGGATGAACAAGCTGCGGGATCCTATTTAGAATTATATAAACCAGGACCACGAAATGAGACAAAATCCCTAAAAATGAATGAATGGCCTGTTTCACTGTCTTTCTGCTTCGTTCCTCGCCCGGTTGCTGATAGAAAGTCAAAGACAGTCCCTATTATTGCCCAACCAACGAAACGAGAGTTAGATATTTGGGATACCGATGCTGGTCCAGTACACATAACTGTCTCTCAGGGTGCTGTCGTCGATCTTTCTGTGGTCAGTGCATTTTTAACGGGTCTTTGGGACAGTTTATTTGTAACGAGTGCAAATGAAAGTAATGTAGTCAACTCATGGGAAGTTTTGTTTGATTCTGCCGTTTCTCACGCTCAGAAAGTTCTACAGATAATCCAAAAGGCAGTAAACTAGTTTGTATAGTTCACGACAATTGTAAGAAAAGTGTTTTCGTTTTTGATTCTTTGTAAAACTATTGTTTAATTGATTAATTGAATTTCTACCTAGATTTTAGATTTGATGGTATATTCTTCATAAATCTTAGTTATTTACACTACAACGTTTCACAGTGCAAACATGATACTTTAAAAGTCAATGATTTTTAAAAGACTTAAGAAAGTTCTCTTGGTCAGTGAGACCGTTTACCTGGTTGTAGATATCCAGGACGAAATAAAATTCTCACAATATCAGATATTTGTCTCGTATACTCAAAAGGGGTATATATTGTTGACATCAAATATAACTTAAGTTATTCCAGCCGGGATTAGCTTTTTTATTTTCAATTTATCTCAACTTTTATGATACCGACATTGTCAACGCTTTAATTTTGTTTAAGTATCAAACGTCAAGAATGTAGTTGTATATGAACACAATTCTTGTCTTCAAATTGTTCACAATTCATATTAAGTGTATCAATGTCAAGGTAGAGAAAATTTTATCTGTGTAATGCTTTTTTGACTTTTGATTCTGTCGTGTAAATATTTAGATTTTCACCATTAATTTGCTTTGTTAATTAATGTAGCTGCACCAGACACGATTTAGACGATCAGAGGATTTAAAAAACCCTGACTGATTAAGCATAGTTTGTGGCTTTGTGGATAAACACTGAAGGTAATCAAGAACTAATACGTGAAAGCATTTCAGTAATTTCTATCTGCGACTGTAGTAACTGAATTAATAGTGAGTTCTACCTATCCGTAGTAACTGGTATTTTAAAAACCGATATCCCATTCCCGTTGTCACTGTTATAGAGGAAGTTTTTGATGATCTGATGAAACGAAATTTTTGACTGTTAATATTAATAAATAGAATGCTAATCGGGAAATAAACACAGTGATATGATATAGTTGAGTAATGGCTACTCACAAGACCGTATTATTAACTTAGACCCTTGAATGCTCATAAATCAATGATAAGACCACTAGCCAGACTAGTGCTTTTTTCATGTGATGAAACGACATGCTTATATACGTATTAATAATTGAATATCACAAGTGGTTGTTCACTCATTACTGACTGTTAAGCCTAATTTTTGCTTATCGTGTCACATATGTGGTTATCATGCCAGTCATATTTAACTTCAGTCATTAAGTAAGATATTCTTTGACATTAATTTCGTTTATCTTAACTAATAACAGTTTTACTACTGTTAGCAGCTACTATAATGATGGTCTGTTGAACATGTTTGTTTGTCGTCTTTCTGTTCGTTATGTTACTTAAAGAGTAATTGGAAAAGGGGATTTAATGGTGATTAACTCACAATATAGAAAACACTTACTCCATCGGTTGCTATAGATTAGTAAATTTTCACCATGGTTTGGGATGTTGCAAAAGTGGCAGGAATTGTTGTATGCTAACATCAAGGGAATAAAATTGACTAACATCATCTCTAATTACTTGCGATCCGTAATGTTAGGACGTTTATCTAAAGCTTATTTTAAACCTTGTGGAACCGACCAGCTTCTAAAAAGCTGTGAGGTATTTATTAGTATAATCTCTAAGTTTATGCATAACTCATTTCAACACCAAATTGTCTCTAGACGTAGATGAGATTTTACTCTCTGTTCAGATATCATATGGCAATCTTTTACTAACAGTCATCCTATTATTTATTTACTATTGCTTTATAATAAAAAGTCAGTCAGTCAGTAACAACGTAGAACTTCGTACGTACGTACATCAATTCGAGTTGCCACACCACCTTAACACAGAGATGCAGTTGTCGATTCAAATCCCGTAGTGGTAGAGGTAACAAGAGTATAAGCAGTAATCGGGAAGATTAGGGTTTGGAGATGTTATTTGAAGAGTATAATCCAGTGAAATAAATTTGGAAAGATAAAAAAAAAGAAAGGGACATGAAGAATTCAAAATATTAGAATTTGGGAGAACACAGAGAGTGGATGCACCTGCGCCATTGCAAACGATTTTGAGCCATGTCATTCAGGGTCTCTAACCATCGGTTGCTATCATCTCGTGGTCCCCAACCAGGTAGTCTACACCTACCAACATGACTCAGTCCACTTGTCAGTGACTTCATGGACTTGTGCCATGTTTTGGTCTGGCCGCCCCTAGATTTCTTCCAACCTACTCCTATACCACTAAACATAGCACGTCGAGGTAGTCGGTCGTTGGGCATACGTAACACGTGTCCCAGCCATCTCAACTGATGAAGTTTCACTACTTCATCAATTGATTTGCCATCCTTACCTAGTACCCGTTTCCTAACAACTACATTACTTACTCGATGGTCCCATGATGTACGAGCAATGTTTCGAAGACACCTATGATCGAATACTAGTAACCTACAAATATCCTCTACTCTTACCGGCCATGTTTCACTGCCATAAAGTAGGACGGGACGAACTGCTGCTCAGTAAACACGTCCTTTAGTTGATAGAGGGATATCTCGCCTACGCCATAAATGACGCAAGTTGGCAAAAGCTAGTCGAGCCTTCTGTATCCGTGCTGAGATTTCGTCACACACCAGACCACAAGGGCTGATGAGACTTCCAAGATAAGTGAAGCGGTCGACACACTCAACTACTTCACTCCCTATCACTAGTTCGGGTGTCGATGTAACCCAATCCTGAAGCAACATTTTGCATTTCGAGGGGGAGAATCGCATGCCGAACATGCTTGGGTTGTTACTTAGAGTGGTCAGAAGACTCTGCATTTTGTCAGCGTCTTCACCAAATAGAACTATGTCATCGGCATATTCTAAGTCAACAAGTGAACCTCCCGGTAGGAGTTCAACCCCTGGAAATTTAGATGAGGAGAGTGTTATCTCTAAAAGTACGTCAATGACAAAGTTGAACAAGAATGGGGAGAGTGGACAGCCCTGACGAACACCACTTGAGGTAATCAATTCTGATGACAGTTCGCCATAAGCTCTCACTCTACCAGTTGTGTTCGAGTAGAGAGCCTTTATAAGGTTGATGTACTTCTTTGGTACTCCTTTCAGTGACGAACACTGCCATAGAACCTCACGATCAACAGAATCGAATGCCGCATTAAGGTCGAGAAATACTGCCATTGTGGGGCGTCTGAATGCGCGTCTGTGTTCTAGAACCTGACGTAGTGTGAATATCTGATCTATACAACCACGTCCAGGTCGAAGACCGGCCTGATTTTCTCTAGTCTGCTCTTCACGAGCTTTGATTAGGCGTCGAAGTATTATTGAAGCTAGTATTTTAGACACTATATTAGTCAAACTGATTCCTCTGTGATTGTCACAATACTTTTGCCCTTTCTTATAGACTGGCACAATCAGTGATTGAGACCAGTCAGATGGGATTACGTCCAGTTCCCAAATTCTACCTAAGACCTCAGTTAATCTCATTGCTAATACTAGACCACCATCCTTAAAAATCTCAGGAGTAAACCTGTCAGGGCCTGCTGCTCTCCCTCGTTTCAGATTTCCTATGGCTTTTTCAACTTCGTAAAGGGACGGAGGACTTACATTAACTTGCCATTCAGGTTGACTAGAGATCGTGGGAAACCGAAGTGTGGCTGAAGGCCAGTTGAACTGGTCTCTAAAGTGTTCTGTCCATCGATCCAATCTCTTGGATTGAGAATGAATAATATGTCCATCTTTCTCTGAGATTGTTTCGCTAACGGTCATGTTCCTAATTCCGGTTTCCATAACGAGTCTGAACAATTGTCTGCTATTACCTATTGCCGCTGCCTTTTCCATCTCTCTTGCTTTCGCTACCCACCACTGTTCGCGATCATTGCGTAGACTTCTTGTCAGCTTGCGCTTAAACTGACTTCGCTTTTCATTATGTTCAGAGCCAGGTGGAATGAGTTTCCGAGCATCTATCAGTGCGATAGATGCTACTGAGATCCAGTGTTGCTCCCTAACCTTCTGGTTTACCTTACTAGCAGATATCACTGCTGTTTCCACAGCTTTTCGGATATCATTCCATGCTGCCTCGGGGTGGGCATCACCTATATGGCTGCCTAACTGTTTTCCTAGTTGTTCCTGAAATATACTCTTAGCTTGACTATCATTAAGTAGGGCCCTAAGAGGTTTCCTTGCAGCGTCTTTCCTACGTCCAGTAAGACGCAAGCAAATACGCGCTCGCACTAGAGCATGATCTGAATCTAGGCATGTGCTCCAGAATGAGCGACAGTCTTCTATCGAGCCCCTCCATCGGTGGCTGATAGCGATGTGATCTATTTGGGTCCAACGTTGGGACGGATTAGGGGGTCGCCATGTTAAAAGATGTTTTTCCTTATGCTTAAAGTTAGTATTTGCAAGGAACAGGCGGTTATCTGAACATAGCTGCAACAGACGGTCGCCATTATCTGTTCTTTGAGCCACGACACCATAAGATCCACCTAGGTGTCTTTCCCTATCGCTTAGTTTACCTACATGAGCATTAAAGTCACCGGCCACTATTACTACATCCGAGTGCCTAGCTTTTCGGAGAAGGTCGGAGAGCTTTCTGTAAAACTCATCTTTTACATCATCTGCGCTGCAGTCAGCGGGAGAATAGGCAGAGACGACGAAGAGGCAACGACGAGTGTCCCTATCTTTTCGGGTCCTTATTGTTCTGTTTAGTCGGAAAGCGCACAAACGACTGTCTACTGGGATCCACTCTAAGAGAGCTAGTTCTGCCCTAGGACTCAATGCTATACGTACACCGGCGAGGCCACGGGAAGCAGAATCAGGGTTTACAGATACACGAAGTGTGAATCGAGTCGGTTCTTTATTTTGGTATGGTGAGGTCAAGTGAATGACGCTACTCGAACCCTGTATGCGCGTTTCGGAGACGCAGCACACATCGATGGTGCGGGATTCTAAAGTCCTAGCTAAGGAAGCCTGTTGTCTTATTTGGCACAGTGTTTGGACGTTTAAAGCTCCTACGTGTAGTTTAGCGCGTACTCGAATCGTTTGCCCTAGCGGTGCGAGGTGAAAAAAGGACGTGAGAAGGGTTAGTCGGGGAGATAAGAGTGGTATAAGGAGGTGTAGGAAGGATTTGAATGTGACCAACTTGGTCTCGTGTGCTGTTACGGGTATGAGGGCTGATGTCACTTCCCGGCTGCCCACACCGTGGAAGGGTATTTCTTGAGGAACCTGAAAAGGAAATTGGATTAGTGTTGGTCTTGACGACCTGGGAGCGTAACCGCAGAGCCCAAGGGACAACTGCTTGGGGCCGGTCGTGCACGGCCTTTTCGTGGGAGGTTTTTGACGTGTTAGCTCCGTTCTTCAAAAAGCCTTACCGCCGGAGACGGAAATCCGTGAGATAAGGTGAGGTGTGCATTTTTAGGGTCGACCTTTTCTAACCCCACCCCTCCTTGTGGGAAGGCAGCATCGCTGTCATGCTGGTTGTCCGAGGGAAACATCTTACTGCTGTCACACCTCTGTACAGTCAGCAGTACGACTTCGCCCTGAGACCTTGAGTTGCTGCTTTTAGTCTTACCGTTCACCAATCGACCTGCCTGACATGGTAGGACCTTGATGAACGGTTGTTCCAGCCAATATAGCTCGGTTGCTTCATCACGATAGGCAAGCCCGACCACCGCGTCAAGGTAGCAGCTTCGGTCGGTTTTATAAAACATCAGACACTGTGGCGCCGCGAAACAAAACGGTAGTGTTTCGAAGAGTTAGAAGTAACAAAGAATAAGTATTATAAACCAAGATAAGAGGAAAATAATAAAAGGTACAATAGGATCAACAAGGGGTTCCATTCTGTTGAAATATCGGGTCACTGACTTGCACGATGTTTAAGTGGCATGCTTTATATCAAGACAAAGAGAAAGGAAATTGACAAAATGAGGTATAGAACAAAGTATGACACCCAATATCGCGAATAGCTAAGCCTAATAAGTCCATTTAAAACGAAGCACAAAATCAATGGATTAAATTGGAAAACAAAAGGTGTGTAGTGAAAAGAGAATAACTATATGTAGCCCATTACAACTGATTTTGAGTCATTTCACCCAACATCCATGTATGATGCGTGTTTTAACCTACATGTCTTTTTCTTTTTCAAAATAAGATCATATGAATATTTATCTCGTGCAAATACATCTATAAGAAGATTTTGTTTTGTGCAGTGATGTTTTATTTCATACAGATTGATAGTTATCTGATTTTATTTATATGAAAATTCTTCATCGAAACAAGTAATGTTCTCAAAACGGCTCTGTGTTCACTGTAACTAGTTCGGGAATTTTCAACTGTTTTGATGATGGCATTATTCAGTGAATGTCAGTCAAATGTGTTTCATTGTGCGTAACACTATCTTTTCTAAAAAATTTCAGCCTTACTACTTTTTTTGTATGGTCTACAATAAATTTGTTAATCTCACTGTAAGAAAATAAAACTTATTGAATATTAAAATGAAAATCGTTTTGCTTAGCAAGATAATATCATAATATAATGTATCTTCTGTTATATAGTATCGATGTTACTTTGTTCTGTTGGTGAATTTTCCACCAAAATTTATTAGGTTTCATTCACCATATTCCTATTGAGAAATCCAGCTAACACAGTAAGAGTGTTAGCATAATGTAACAGATTTATCTGCAACCAACCCAAAAAATATCTTACTAATGTAAACCAAATTGGGATTGCAACTCGACGGTTTTGTGATATTGGATTAGCGCATAAATTCTGGCTAATGTACTGAGATTTCTTATCGCAATCGTTAGAGACTTTCCTGAAGGTTGATATATAACCATTTTAATCCGATCTTGTCAACGAAAGCTGTATTATCTTACATATATTTCCCAGCAGTAACTAACTTTCTAACATTGTTTACCGCTGACAATCAAAAGACTTATATTTCAATAGTCGGACGTAAACAACTTATGGTTGATTCATTAGTACTTCTTTCATCTGTAATAGATCCGAAGCATGTTATGAATATCTATCAAATCATATCAAAAACCACGTAAAGGCTTGTACTAGGCCCTGGTACGGGTGAGGGTGTGACCAATCCGTTCTTCTCGAAATGCTCTCACTTGGCCACGCGTATATATTTACTGTCATGGAAGTCCTACTCGCTGCCTTCTTGGGGTGGGTGTTGTTTATGAAATTCAGAAGACGAAAAGCTAATGTTTGGCTCTTTAACCGGGTTGGTGGGTATGGAGGATCCATCTAGAGGAGTCGGAAAACTGTGATCTCAAACCAATATTGCACATGGGCTCCAGGATCCTAAGGAAACAAATGGCGTATGATCCTATTGTTGGTCACTGGCTACTATGGGACTGTGTCTCCTTACGTTGAACCACTACCTTGTACATCAGACCTCTAGGTCGAAGGCTCCGGATGTGACTCTCTAAGAGAACCACCTGCTTCGTTTTAGGCACCTGGGCAGTATCACAGCCCTCACACAAATCAGTGTTAACTACCACTGGTCTCATTGTTATTTTGTGGCGCATATGTACTTAGTGCTCCCCTGTACCAATGCTTGTGTGTACGAATTAATAAATTATAGTATATATGAGAGTCTAAAACAAGAAAATTCTTGGGTCTTACTACATATGCTGTAACCAGAGCACCCTGAAATGAGTGTTTCACACATTATATCATCTTTACCAAGTACGAGTCAAGGATTTCCAGTTATAAACACAAGGAAGAGGAAAAACAATGAAGTACTCAAGTATTTCGTTTCCTGCTTTTAACAGAACCAAACGTGCTCATTTATAGTCACTGATCATTATCTTTGTAGTGTGTTTTGATGGTTTTTGTACCAAAAGTATTCTAACTCCCAGTGTAATAACTCAAACACATAGGAGCTTATGTTGAGCTATCATCATAATCGTTAACTTCGAGTGCTATTCTGTTTGATGAAAACACTTAGATACGTGATTTCCTTAAGTTTTTATTTAATTGCGAAGTTTTGTTTTAGAAGTGGTCTGCATGTAGAAGGCTAGCTAAATTGTGTTAGCAGTTCATGAATTCGTTGACCATTGGTCCAAGGCATATCAGTTATTCCAAACTAGCCTGTGTTAGGATCTGCATAATAATAGTTGTCAATGGTTGAGACGTCGAGTAACTTGGTTGAGGATCGGTCACAATATTACAGATTTTGAATCCCAATATCTTTTCGAACATACCTTCCCACTCTGCTTTAAACCATATTCCTCAAGTGTAGTCTCCTTTTTGTCGTTATTACTAGGTTGCTTCAATCTCTTGTTATTTTCATATTGTCGCGCTAACCTAATTTGGCAAACTGGACAAAAATACATCTTCCTCTAGATCTTGAGTTCCAGCATTCCTTTATACGTAACTTTCCACTCCTGGAATTATATTCTCGTTGTTTGTTCTTTTTCATTTTGATTGTTATTATAATTATTTCAGCATCCTTGGTACTCGTACGGTTAATTTCGCCTCGTTGTGATGATATGGTGTGGAGACCCGGGCTTCGGACGACAAAGCTTAAAATTTTCAGAATTGGGACAGATCCATTCATTACTTGTCTTCGTTCTACGAATGTATATTTCCTCGAATAAAATTTATCCCTAATCTTTTCGACGATTACTACTTATACTGTGTCGTTTTGTTGTGATGAAATGTATGATAACTTGGACCGATGAACATATGTCCTAGTCATTACCTGGCGTATGACATTGAATACTTTTACCTGGCTGTTTGTTGATTACAACTGATATGGATCAAGACATTGGTAACACCATAGGCAGTCTTGATCCCAGTCTTCTGAACAAATTTGTTGGCATAACTCGTGCTACTTTATTTTAGTTAGTAGTATGAGTGAAATAGAACATTGTGGTATATTTGATTCATTGTTCACGACAAACATTATAATGTAAAGATTTTTTGGTCAAGTTGAATTAGATTTTTAGGTTCGTCTGCAATTCGAATTATCCATTTACTTATTCCTGTTGCCCCTCTTAGGACATAAGGGGTCAGAAACAAATCTTCAACTTGTCTTAGGCTCTCCTTTTCAGTTTTCGATAAGTTTTATTCGTCGACTTGGTATATCCTTCCAGTTTCCGACGTCATGTGTTACTTGGTCTTCCTCCTTTACCTTTACCTTGGGGGTTCCATGTTGGGGTTTGACTTGTGATGCGGTTTAGTGGTGCCTGTTAGGTTTGTTTTATTCAACTCTAGTGATTATACTTGATTTTATCGTCATTCGGAACCTTGTTTATTCTGTCAAAGTCAATTATACGGACTAAGTATGATGATGAAAATCTCCGTTTTGTCGAATAAGATCCAACAAGATTTTCTGACCCACGCTAAAAATCAGATCTACCCCCGCAAATTCGTACGTAGATCATGTTTAATTTTTTTAAACCAGTGTCTCATGTTGATATCACCAGTTAAATAACAGTTAAAACTCCTTTAGTTTACATCCACTTATCTCATCTTTTTTTCAAGTATTATAATTACTGAATGCAGGTGTTTCTATGGAGATATCCAAAGGTAAACCCATTAGCCTATTCAATCTTCACAGCCCAGATATACCAAGTTTCATAGACACTTAATGGAATTACTAGATTCTCGTTGTTATACGCTCCATCATTTTACAATCAGACTAGCCCCCTCAAGACACTGAAGGTGGTTCACACTGGATGAATTTACTTTGGCTTTCACTGTAGAGTGATCGCTTTTGTTAGTCATAGTAATCAATTCTTTCTATCTATCGGTTTTCTAAGATTGTTAAAATTGTTGCTTTCAATCCTCTGCATTTCTCGTTAATTTCCCCTTGGCGTAATGTGTCTGATGTTTGATAATATATATCAGATTGAGACATTCTAGATAAAGTAGATGTATATAAGTCTATCACACTTAGTAATAACTTCCAAAATTACATTTAGTAACTTGTAGTGGAAGAATGGTTACCGTCATCAAAATCCATTATGATATGAAGATTTTATGTGTTGTTGAATTTCCTGTCTAATGAGAATCCTTTTGAAATAGTGCTTTATGTATGCTTTATTTGAAATTTTTGAAATGATTTCAAGTTCAAAGTTGTTATAAAGGTTTTTTTGCCTTATTATAAACATATTTCCTGAAGTTCGACATTTAAGTCATCCCAGCTTTTTAAGAGATATATACAATTTCATCCATAAAGTCTTATGATGTATACACATTGAAGTCGATAGATTCGAACCTAGAAGCTTCAGTATTACGGGCTAAAACATTGGTAATGATTTAATCTTGCAACTATTAATCTGGAAATATTATTTACTTATAAAAATGAAAGATAATCGCGAATTATGACAATGTAGTATTGTAGTGAAGAAGAACACGGGTGGGGACAATCGATTGTATTTAGCACAAAAATTACAGACTATCTCAATAAAATGTGAATACCACAAAGTCAATCGTCAATTTGCAAAATATCATTCCATCATATCAAACTGTACTGTTCCCGTTGCAAACACTAATCCATTGTCTCCCATTCCATTGTACATGCGTTTTCTAACAATTCCATTGTGCTCTTGCTCTTCCTTTCTTGATCTTCGCCATCTTCTGCTGCCGGACATTACGTTCTTTTAACGCACGTTATATACTACTTATATCAATATAAGTAGCTCACACCACACTCGTCCCCCCCTTAAAGCAGTCGTGCTTGTGGTGCTTCATGCTCGCCGTGCAACATTCTCCGTCTCTGCAGTCTGTGCCACGCTCTCCGTCAAGATGTCAAGTCTGCGGCGCGCTGACTTCCACAGCTCTGTCGACCTGCCGGGGCAACAACAACCAACATCCACCCGGCACCTGGGACGCTTGACATCCGCACTCCACCGGCCTGCTGAGCCATCTACATCCGACGTCCGCCCAGCAGCCGCGCGTCCCGACGCTCCACTCCGTCGACAGCACCCGCTACAGCCAACGCAGCCCCGCCAGGACACTTCACCAGACGCCACCTCTCCGCACCAGACTGCCCCAACTGGCACCTCAACTCCAGGCTCGCAACGGCGTCCGCAGAACAGCACACTCCTCCTCTCCTGGGTGGCAGCGACACCAAATGTAGTGAAGAAGAACACGGGTGGGGACAATCGATTGTATTTAGCACAAAAATTACAGACTATCTCAATAAAATGTGAATACCACAAAGTCAATCGTCAATTTGCAAAATATCATTCCATCATATCAAACTGTACTGTTCCCGTTGCAAACACTAATCCATTGTCTCCCATTCCATTGTACATGCGTTTTCTAACAATTCCATTGTGCTCTTGCTCTTCCTTTCTTGATCTTCGCCATCTTCTGCTGCCGGACATTACGTTCTTTTAACGCACGTTATATACTACTTATATCAATATAAGTAGCTCACACCACAGTATCACTCGAATAAACTTATGTTGGGTCCTATCTTAATCATTTATCAGTGAGCACTGGCTAACATATATGGTATGAAATCATGGATATATAATTTTCATATTATATATGTTACATAAAATCAAATAATTTAATCGACATTCACTTGTTTTCATTATTTCATATTTCCTTCAATTGTCTTTGAATTATCACTATCAAGTTCTTTCTTTGTTACTTCAAAGATTAATTTACGGTAGCGAAACATGGCCCTTAAGAGTAGAAGACACTCGTAAGCTACTAGTATTTGACCACAGATGCCTTAGAAATATTGCTGGCGTCTGCTGGGATCACCGGGTAAGTGATAGTGAGGTTAGACACAGGGTATTAGGGAATGATGGTAAATCAGTTGATGAGGTTGTGAATCTTCATCGACTGAGATGGTCGGGCACGTGTTACGTATGCCTGAACACCGATTACCATGACATTCAATGCTAACCGGTGTTGGAGATGGTTGGAAGAAAGTTAGGGGCGGTCAAATCAGCACGTGGCATTAGTGCTTGAAGTCAATAACTTGTAGTCTGAGCCATGTTGGTAGATGCAGACTACTTGGTGTGGGTCCGCGTGACTTTCGTAACCACTAGTTGGAGACTCTTGGTGACATGGCTCAGAATCGATCACAATGGCGTCGGTGTATACACTCTCTGTCTTCCCCTAAACTATGAGATCAAAATCGCTTCATATCTTTCTTTCTACGAACTAATTCTTTCTTCTTGTACTATATCCTTATTGCAATCTTTTATATATTACCACCTATAAATTAACTACTTTTATGAATCCGGTGTCGATCTTGTTGTGTTAATGAGGTATGGCAACTTGGACCGATGTATATATGTGCCTGGTCTTACGTTGTAGCTGACTGACTCAAAGATTAGGATTTTACTTTGATACTTCATGTTAAATAATTCAAATGTTTCCTACTGATTTTGCATATATCCTTACTTAAGTCTTGGTTAAACGAAAAACAATCCAAGAAAGTAGTAATAAGATGAGGTAAGAAAGCTTTTTAATCATTCGATTATCTTAGGTGAACAATGATTCAATCAATTTATTAATAATATTACATTATACAACAACAACAAAAAAATAACAAACTTGGATAATCATTTA